CTCCCGGATTCCGGAGCTTCCCTCACCTGCAGGGACACCAGGTTCTCCGAGAGCATCCTGTAGAGCATGTCCTTGGCCTCCTTGGCCGGGATCATGGCAAAATCCTCCACCTGCTTCTGCTCCAGGTGCTTCTTGCGCAGGAGCAGGCGGAAGATCCGGGCGCAGCGGGAGCCGAACCTGGGCGGGGAGAGCGGGATGAGGAGGGATTGTGGGAAAAGCCTGGGAGTATCCCAGGTCCCCTTGTCACCTCTCCTCCACGATGGACTCCAGCGTGGCCGTGGCCAGAGACGCCAGGGCCTTGTGCAGGTCTGCGGTGGGGGGAAGGTCAAGGAGAAAATTCCAGAGCTTGGGAATGTTTCAGGCCTGGGAACACCAAGTGTGTCCCCCCCTCTCTCCAAAGGATACTGACGGTGTAGGTGCCCCCACCGCTGTCCCCAGACTTCCCCACGAATTCCAGCTGCAGGGAGAGACAACAGGGAAGAGGTCAGGACACCCCCAGAGAAGGAAAACATGGTTGGTTGTTTTCCCTTAAAATCTGGAGCGGGAAGAAGAAGATGAAGATTTTGGGAAAAGAAAAAAACAAACTTCAGTATCTCTTAAATATTTTCAATATCTTTTAAGTAACTTTAATATCTGATAACTAACTCCAATATCTGTACAAAAACTTCAGAATTGGTCAGTATCTGTTAAAAACTGTTAACTCTCAGTAAAACCCAAGTTCCCCTCGAGAGCGAATTCCATGGAAGCATGGAATGCCAGAGGCTGGAACAAACCCGGAAGCCCGGGGTGAAGCAACAGAGCGAAATTCCGTGAAGCAGAATGCCAGAGCTGAAAAGCCCTGGAGAGCCCGGGGGCACCCACCGGATCATCAGCCAGGAGTGCCAGGTACTGGTCCAGGACCTGCTTCCCGATGTTGTACCCGGCAGGAAGAGCCCGGAATATCTACGTGGGAGGGGAAAAAAGCAGGGAATGTCACAGGCATTCCAAGGGATTCCCAGCACTCCAGGGGCTCCCGAGGACCCACCTCGTTGGAGGAGAGGGGCTGGGTGTGGGACGCGCCCGAGGCCGTGGTCACCTCGCTCATGCGCAGCATCGTCCGCACCACCTCGCTGCTGGTCTGCAGGGGGAAAAACGGGGGGAAAACGGGGGAAAAACGGGATTCAGGGCAGGGAAAAGCCCGGATCCGGAGTGGGAATGGGGGTGGGAGAGCCAGACCTGGTCCATGCGGCTGCCCACGGCGCTGACCAGAGCCTGGTCACGGAAGTGCTGGTGGAAACGCTCCAGGTTCACCTGCCAGTAAATGCCGTCGTCCGGAGGGGGCTGAGGGGGGAAAAGGGATAAAAAATGAGGGAAAAGGGGTGGGAAAAATGAGGGAAGGGAGGCAGGAAGCTGGTGGAAAGGAGGAGGAAAAAAATGAGGAAAAGGAGGCAGAAAGCAGCGGGAAATGAGACAGAAATAAGGGAGAAGAGATGGGAAAATGAGGGAATGAGGCAGGAGAAAGGAGTGGTAAAAAGGGAGGGAAAGGAGGCACGAAGCTGAGGGAAATGGAACATAAAAATAAGGGAAAAGACATGGAAAAATGAGGGAAATGAGGTACAAAAAAAGGAGGAAAAGGTGCCACAAAACTGAGGGAAATGAAACACGAAAAAAAGGAAAAAGAGGTGAAAAAATGAGGGAAATGAGGCAGGAAAAAAGAGCAATCAAAAGTGAGGAAAAGGGGTCACAAAACTGAGGTAAAAGAGGGGCAAAAAGATGTGGAAGAAGAGTCACAAAAAATTAGGAAAAGAAGCCACAAAAAATGCGAAAGGGGAGCCCAAAAAAAGCGAAAAAGGAGCCACAAAACTGAGGGAAATGGGGCAGAAAAAGTTTGAAGGAAAGGAGCCAAAAAAATGAGGAAAAGGGGCCACAAAACTGAGGAAGAGGAGCCAAGAAAAGCGAGGAAGAGGAGCCAAGGAAAGTGAGGAAGAGGAGACAAGGAAAGTGAGGAAGAGGAGACAAGGAAAGTGAGGAAGAGGAGACAAGGAAAGTGAGGAAGAGGAGACAAGGAAAGTGAGGAAGAGGAGCCAAGGAAAGTGAGGAAGAGGAGCCAAGGAAAGTGAAGAAGAGGAGCCAAGGAAACTGAGGAAGAGGAGCCACAAAAGATGAGGAGGAAGCAGCAGAAAAACGAGGAAAAGGAATCACAAAGAAATGAGGGAAAGGGCTCACAACCCCCTCTGGTTTCTCCAGGTCAGGAATATGCCCATCCCACCCTTCCCAGGCCCAGAATTCCAGGTACCTCCGAGCTTCCTCCCTCCTGCTTCTGCCTCTTGGCCTTGCGCTGCCCGTCCTCCTCCTCCTCGTCGTCGCACGAGCGTCTCCGCTTCCCTTTCCCTGCCGAGCCAAAAACCCGGCGTCTCCCACCCGGAATGGCGGGGCCGAGCGCTTCCTGAGGCCCCCCGGAATCCCGGGGATCCCCTCACCGGCCAGGCTGAGCCGCGGCACGACGTACATGTCCCGCTCGGCGATGGCCAGGGCGGGCGCGGGGGGCGGCGGCTCGGCGGCGTTCCGGGGGTTTTCCGGGACCATCGGGCACCTCCGGATGAAGTGGGTGTCTGCCAGGCGCACGAACGTGCCCGACACCTCGGCGTAATCCATGGTTTTCCCGTCTAGGAGGGAGAGGAGCCCGTGGGGTGGGCGGATCTGGGATAGTCCTGACGCCACGGTCACCACGGCGAGCGTCAACACCCCCCAGACCCTCTGGGACCACCTTCCCAAACCTGATCCCAGATCCCTGTTTTTCTAAGGAGGAGCTTCCCACCTTCCATGGTCTCCATCAGCCTTTCCATGACCAGATCCAGGATGTTCCTGAGGCTCTGGAGGATGTGGTGACACCATGGCCACCACCACGACCATCACGGCCTGGCTGTGAACACCCCACGGAGCATCTGCTCCCACCTTCCCAAACCTGCTCCCAGATCCCTGTTTTTCTAAGGAGGAGCTTCCCACCCTCCATAGTCCCCATCAGCTGAATCCAGGATGTTCCTGAGGCTCTGGAGGCCACGGTGACACCATGGCCACCACCACAACCTGGCCATGAACACCCCACAAATCCTCTGCTCCCACATTCCCAAACCTGCTCCCGTTTTATTTTTTTCCCAGGGAGGACCTTCCCTCCCACCTTCCATGGTCTCGGTGAGGCGATCGGCCACCCTGGCCACGGCGCAGCTCATGGAGAGGTGGCCGTGGAGCAGCAGCTCCTCCACCAGCAGCTCCCCGGGGTCCCCGTAGAGCGTCTTGGCCGTGTAGATGTAGCGGGGGTAGCGCAGGATCCGCAGGATCCGCTCGCTCCGCGCCTCGTACTCCACGGATCCGCGGGGCTGCACCTCGTACCGCACCAGGTCGTGCTGGAGCAGGACACAAAGGGCCTTCTTCACCTGTGGGAGGGAGCGGGAAGGTTGGGATCCCACTTTTTCCCCTGCCCAGATCCCCGTTTTCCTCACAGAGAACCCGAATTTCCCTCCTCCTTCCTTTTCGGGGGAACACAAACCTCCCGCTCCGGGAAAATTCCCCCTTCCCGATTTATTTCATTTGAAAGGCCTTGTCCTTCTCCCCCCACCTATCCCTGTCCCTAGATTCTTTTGCTCTCTACACAGCACCAGTTTCCCTCCTCCTTCCTCAAGTTTTCCAGGGCCACACGAACCTCCCACTCTTGATTTATCTCATTAAAAATTCCTGTCCTTCTCCACGTTTTCCCACCGGTTTATTCCCATCTTTCCTCCCTACAGAGCCTCAGAGTTTCTCTCCTCCTTTCCAAAGAAGTTCTCCAGGGAGATACAAACCTCCCACTCCAGAAAAACCTCTGAGTTACTGTTATTAAAAATTCCTCGTCCTTCTCCAGGTTTTCCCACCGGTTTCCCCCTCTGGCCCCCTCCCATCCCGTACCTGATCCGGGAGCAGCCCCGTGTCGCCCACCAGGAGCCGCAGCGGCCGCGGGCCCGTCCGGAGCAGGGAATTCCCGACTTTCTCCACGATCTCCCCGAAGTGCTCCTGGAGCAGCAGGGAGCAGAGCCGCAGCTCCGCCTGCGTCATCCCGGCGGCTTCCAGGAATCCCAGGAACGTGGTGGGGAAAGAACAGCTGTGGGGGGGACAGAGAGGGGACAGATGTTGACCCGTGTCCCCGGGACAGATGTTGACCCCCCCC